GGGGGGGGGGGGGGGGGGGGGGGATGTACTATTTGTAGCTGTCTAACTTAAAGCGCTGTCTTTCCATTGAAATTGAGAAGTAGAAGTGTGTGTTGAAAAAAGTGTATGATTTTTAGGTCACTTCAGCTGAAAAGTTGATGTTTTAAGAGCTTATCTTATGGTGGAAATCTTCTATGAGCTCTCCCAGATATCTGCTTGTTGTAAAAAGCAGAGTGGAGGTCGTCTTTGAACCTTTTGGTTTCTAGTGTGTGTGCTTTTGCTTGCTCCAATTCGAGTTCCTACGTACCTTCATTGATTTAAGGCCTCCTTCAGTGAATTAAGTCTGTCTCTTGCTTAACATGGGGGCCAAAGGAATGCCAGGAGATCCTTACATGTTATCTTTTTCAAGGATTTTATGTTGGTTTCATCCCTCTCCTTTCTCTGTGCTGTTGCCTTCATATTCCTGGAGGCTAAGTGTTCAAGTATATCTTGTATGTTGGCACATTCGGTTTATTCTGAAGCTTTTTAGAAGCTCAACTTATAATCATGTCTAGGCTTTGTTGTGTATGCTTACCTGTCAATAGGGCGCCTCACAATTTTCATTCTCAAATCACGACCATTATTTTCTTGTTTATTGACTCGTTCTAGTTTTAGCGAAGCTGTGTAGAAGCTCAAGTTAGAGATATATTTTGGTTTCGTTGCCTGCAATAGTACTCTCACAACTTTTATTCTCAAAATATCGTAGATCATTTTTTTGTTTAGCCTGTTACCCTTACTTTTCCTACTTATCAGTGAATGATCCATTCCTTTTCCTATCAAATTTGAAGGTTCACATAAACAATCTTGATGCTTCTAATGACACGCCATCTGAAACGAGAAGACCTGCTGTGATGGAAACTTTGTCAATGGAGGAGATGCAAGAACGAATGGACCAGTTCGCTTACATCATGCAGCGAAAGTTTTTATTGGGAGAAGATAGTCTGGATTACTCAAAAATTGACGAGGATGAGACCTTGGATGATCATTGGATGAAAGAAGAAAATTATGATGCTGAAGAAAAGTACTTTGATGATGATGGCTGAGCTTAAATGCTGACATGACGCAGGGTGTGATTTTTGTTTTTGACATTACAAGTTTCTACCATGTATATGTCGTTAGCACAGTGGCGAAGCCAGAAATATTTCCAAGGGTGTTCAAACTTGAAAGAAGTAGAAAAAAAATTCCGACAAAGGGTGTTCAATATAGGTTTTATGTCTAAAATCAATATTTTACTTATATACACAGTGTAATTTTTCAGTCCCGTTGCTAAAGGTGGCTTCGCCCATGCGTTAGCATTTTATGCAGATATGCCTAGGTTTTGTGGTTGAAGGCAGATTTTGCAAGGGTTGTCGATGGCTAGGTTTTGGTCTTGATTTCTGGGAGTAGCTAGTAAGTTTATACTACAATTCAAGCCTGTCAAAAAAGAATTTATATTACAATTCTGCAGCCACACTAGAGTGAAAGAGATGCTGAAATGCTAACTTAGCAGCCACACAAGAGAAGGATAGAGATTCTTGTCCAGATAAGTGACATTGTGCTCAAGTCGAAGGATTCGGATTTACTTTAATAGCAAGGAATCTATGCCAATTGATAAAGTAGAAAACTCAGGGATTTTGAGAAGCTTCCTTGTTTTGGATTGATTTTATTGGTCTCTGTACAATAACTGACCTTATTGGACATTTGTTGCTCGGGAGTAGGGACTCTGCATGTTGATGTAGAGTAAGTGTCTACTACTCCAATTCCATACAAAGATTTGAACATCTAATATCTTAGGTCTGAATTAACAAGGGGTATCAATTTGAAAATGTCGGAGATGACAGATCAAGTTCCAGAGGTTTTTTTTTTTGGTGCTAAGTTCCAGAGTTAATTTCTTTTGTCTGCTCAAGTATTGGTGGGTAAAATTACTCGGTCTGAATTAACAAGGGGTATCAATTTGAAAATGTCGGAGATCACAGATCAAGTTCCAGAGGTTTTTTTTTTTGGTGCTAAGTTCCAGAGTTAATTTCTTTTGTCTGCTCAAGTGTTGGTGGGTAAAATTACTCACGAGTGAGAAGTAGCAAATGGCATGGACATTACCATTATGAAAAAATCTGCATGATTATTAAATCAACTTTAATCACTAGTGCTTTCTTATTCATCAATGAAATAAAATAGAAAGACAATCAATTTAATACCTGAAATTACAACAATAGGTTACAATTTTACCAAATTGACATGCACAAAAAATGTTCAAATTACTACAGAGTCCCTTGTGAAGTCAGCAGTGACAAAAAATACACGTATACAATCGCACCAAGATAAAATCTCCAAGCGACAATATACTAGCATTACCCATCCGAAAAAATCGTCTAAGCTCTTCCCGCCGGTATATTATCACCTTCTCCGGTCACAATTCCCTCATTTTCTCTCTGCAAAAATCACCGATACGCGTAAATTAGAGAGAGTAATGGGATAACACTCTCCCTTCATCAAAAAGCCCAATTTCTCTCTCCTCGTTCGTTTTCTCCGACAACGAAACCCTAGGGTTCGAGTGATTTCAAGTGTTGTGAAAGCTGAGGAGAGAGAGATGTACAAAGAAAGGAGAGGTGGCGGTGGATCGAAGGCGGAGATGGGACATGTAGTAGGTGATAGGAAGAGATTAAATGAAGCGTTGGATAAGCACTTGGAGCGGTCCTCTCCCTCTACCTCCACTACTACTGTTAGGTGTGCTAACGGAAAGGATAATCGCTTTTCCATTTCCAAATCAAAGGACCAGCTCAGGAACTCTGCTGCTCCACCTCCTGATAATAAGTGTTCTGATGGTATATATACTCACACAGACACGCACTATACTCCTTCCATTCCTATTTTATACTAATGTTAATTGACTTGCACAGAGTTTAAAATGCTAATTTAACTCATACACACGCAAACACACATGTATGCACGTAGTTTTTTAGATAGTATTAGTGATAGTGGAAAAATATATAATTTTCTTTTGAAAATGGAAGAACAATATTAGAGTGATGGTTGAAAAGTTCAATAGGGAAAATATCACGACAAAGTTTTAACATTTGCATAGTTTAAGGAATTTGAATTCTTGAAAGTTGTGAAAGTTTGTATGGAAATGGAGTAATGTTAAACATTTTAGACATCTCAAAGTTGAATTAAAACATCTTTATATAAGTTGGAACAAAGTCTTGAGCACACCTCGACTAATTCCATCGCATACCTGCTACCTTCCACTAGCACAGATATCGGGTAACTGTACCCACTAAGGTTTGGGCAAATAGGAAGAGATCACTGAGATTTGAACATGAGGCCTCATGGTTCTCCCCCACTTTATTAACGACTAGGCCACACCTTGGCTGTGGTTGTTGTTGCTTTTCTTTTTTCAATGTGTGATGTTTGTTAGTCTCTAGTGCACAATTTGAAATTTAGTTTAATGGTTATAGGTTTCAATTGGAAAGAGTATTGATAATCAGAATCACATTTTTAAGGCATGATGTAAACTTGAGGAGTTTACAAGTGTTAAGCTTTTTCTGCATTGGGGTACTGATGAAGAATGTGGCGACATTAAAGCTTCATTGGTCGTATGTTGATTCTGGTGCTAGTCTTGTTGTTATTATAGTTTCAGGGTAACACATGTCTTTTTAATCTTTTTAAGGTCTGAACTCTCTGAATGACAAGAAAATAAAAAAGGTGAGAGTTGATTGAAATGGCATAAGCTTTTCTGGAGTTCAATTGGTAGAAGCATTAATTCACCATGTTAGAGACTTGGTTAAAATAAAAGGATGGTTTTATTGCAGTATCACCTATCCATTTGTTATGTATGGATGAAATTTTTAATGGTAGTTTTACATAGATGATATGCATGTATTAAGTGAAACAAATCCGGCGAATATTCAAGGATGAAAAATATTTGGAGGCGTAGGAGATTCGTTTAGCTATAGTCAGTGTAACAACTCCAGCGAAGCTTTATGTTTTTTTGCTCTTTTTCCTTCTTTTGACATTTCTTAGTGTGGTGGATCATGGATGGGCATCTGTCAGTCGAATGAGACTACGTCATGCCAGTCATTTTATATCTAATTGCTTTCTTTTAAGGTTTCGTGATTCATTATACTAGAGGGTTACAATTAAGGCCCTGATGTAGGACATATACCAAAAAAAAAGTCCCTGATATAGGACCCTCGTGTTTAGTGATTGACTGATTGTTATGGCATTTACCCTTAGAATTTTCCAAGTTCAAGAGAATGGTCACTCTGAGAGCTAAATAGTTGGTAACATGCAGTGACTGTTTATTAATGAGCATTTGAGAGGATCACATGTCTGCTTTTTTTGCTCCTGATTTCCTGGCCGTCTTCCCAGCCTAATTCTTTTTGGTCATATGCTCAAAAGAAAAAAGGACGTCAAACGAACCTCGTCTCCTCTACCCAGTTTCCACTAGTCAAACGACTCCAGATGCAAAGGTATTGTTTCTAATTTTTAAACATATACTAAATTGAGAAATGCATCTCCAAAGTACAGCACTTCCAAAAAGAGATTGAGAGCGTGCTAGTAAGTACTCGTACCCAATAACCTAAAAGGTGCTAGGGTCAATTCTCATCCATGTTCCTCCCGTTCCCTTCTAGTGTTGCTTTTTATCTTCTTGAGCCGAGGGTCTATCGGAAACAACCTCTCTACCTCCCCAAGGGTAGGGGTAGGCCTGCATACACACTACCCTTCCAAGATCCTACTTGTGGGACTCCACTGGGTTTGTCGTTGATGTTGTTGTTGTTGTTGTTGTTGTTGTTGTTGGTCCTCCCATTCCCATCCATGCTCTCAGCTAAACAAGAAAAGAACAACAATAATAAATTATAATGAAAAATGATAAAATCATACACAAGTAGAACATCTTAAATTGGCTTATTCCTCATGAGAGAACTCTTGAAATCAAAACTAATCCTTCTTTTAGTATTTAAAGTTGGTAAATATAAAATCTAAAGAAAATTTTAATAATTTGAAACTTTTAATTGGCTGGTTTGACCAGTCAATCCATCAACTAGGTTTTGATACAAATTAGTTGGGATCAGGCGAACGAATCATCTGTAGTTTTGATAATGCGACTTTCAAGTAAAAATTTTTATGTTCGATAGCAAGTGTGAAAACTTTGAGCCGAGCTGTTTAAGTTGGACTGCCATAAGTGTGAGCGAACAAATCATCTGTAGTTTTGATAATGCGACTTTCAAGTAAAATTTTTTATGTTCGATAGCAAGTGTGAAAACTTTGAGCCGAGCTGTTTAAGTTGGACTGCCATAAGTGTGAGTTATTCAGATAATCAGACCTTTTGATTGTCAGTTTATGATCTTGTTGCTAGAAAATTAATTGTAATCCATAAGCTATTAGGATAAGGGGATCATAATTTATAATATAAGTTTCGTTGAGCAGGTAAAATTGATCTTTCCAAAACCTTCATGTTAAAGTTTGTGCTTGTGTTTCCGTTTTGCAGCAGAATCTGAAACGGACAGTGAGGCATCAGACATTAGTGGTTCTGAAGGAGAAGACACTTCATGGATCTCATGGTACTGCGGCCTACGTGGGAATGAGTTCTTCTGTGAAGTTGATGATGATTACATCCAAGATGACTTTAACCTGTGCGGTCTAAGCAGCCTTGTTCCGTATTATGACTACGCACTTGATCTGATTCTAGATGTTGAATCTTCTCATGGTGAGTTTTGTGTTTCCAGATTGGAGCATTTCTTTCTGCTCTATGCGATGATTTGCACGTCTGAATACACGCTACAGTTTCTCTTGCTGTCATGATTGTCCATTAATTGATTGGCCTGATTCGTTTCTCTCTCTCTTCACTTAGTTAGCAATTGTAGTTAATGAAAATTAGACAGACCATATTACTAATGGTTTGGCATTTAGAGAGATTTGTTTTCCGTTATGGATCTAACAATTATGTTAGCTGATCCCTACCAAAAAAGTAATTATGTCAGCTGATATTTGATACTCTCTTAGGTGGAATGTCTTAATAATTTGTCTTACGTGCATATATTGTAATCTGCATTTGATAAGATGATTGTTGAATTAGTTTGCCATTTGTATTATTCTTGTTGTACTAGTATGCATCCGTACGGCTCTTATGCATTGCTAGTTTGAAGCAAATCATGTCTTCTACTTGAGAGTTTCAAACGACACCAGAGAGGAACGGCATCTGCATTTGAATTCTCTGAGAAGTAAATGTTGCATTGGTGACTGGTCAAATTAAAATAGCTCCCGAGCATGATGTACTGAAAATGAGGACTGGTTTGCTGAGTTAGCTTCCAATATAATTTTGTAATCTAGTGATAAACTTGCCAAATGAACTAACCTACAGTCAAAGAAACATAACATTGGATTTTTAATAAGAATTTATTGAAAGTAAAACATCTTATTTTGGATATGAAGTGCTGTTTAGAGTGGACTCTGTAATCTGTATTTTTCTTGTATCTTAGAGGAGACCTTTGGCCTTCTATAGTTACAACTACTGTAAATTTGAAGATTTTTCTCTATATAAGATTATACTAGCAACTTGATGCGAGAAGCATTTCTCCATGCCATAATAGAAGTCAGGTTTACACCAATAGGATTTAGAAAGGTCTAAGCCTGTTATCTTGTGATAGTTTCTCAAAGGTCCTATGATCGATGAGAATGCCTGAAATGTGTAGGTGATATGTTTACAGAAGAACAGAATGAACTAGTTGAATCAGCAGCAGAGATGCTTTATGGTCTAATTCATGCTCGCTACATATTGACAACAAAGGGACTCGCTGCCATGGTAAGAACTTTTTGTATCATTGAAAAATATATGCTCTAATAGCTATAATAATTGAACATATCTGGTCTTTTCAGTTGGAGAAGTACAAGAATGCTGAGTTTGGGAGATGTCCAAGAGTTTATTGCTGTGGACAACCATGCCTCCCTGTTGGTCAGTCAGACATTCCTCGACAAAGCAGGGTGAATATATACTGTCCTCGATGTGAAGATGTGTATACACCTCGGTCAAGATATCATGAGAGTATCCTTTTTGTTCAACTTTGTTATTACTTAATGCAACATAGTTTAGTGCAAACAATATGTTGAATTAGTAGATTTACTAGTCTGCTTTCTTTCTCCGGGTATGAACTTCTCCCTTGAGGAAGGCCCCTGTTGTGTCAATTCAACCAAGAGGGTATAGTTACTATAATTAATAAGAAGCATAGTAAAGTCTGTGTAGAATAATAGAATCTCTTATTAGCTTATGAAGGAAGGGAGCAAGTGTAGCTTTGGAACCAGCAAGGAGGCATTAGGGAAAACCTAGATTCAAGGTCGGAAGTATTGGAACAAGACTCGAAAACGGAACCCTTTCTCTAGCGGCCTCTTGGCTTCTTTCTTTATGATCAGTCCAGGCCAGTAGCTGCTCCTGGCTCTCGGACAGTTAGAGCACCGACAGATAGAGCGAAGAGTCCATAAGGAGAAGAGCCAAGGCTTGTCGTAGATAAGAGTTGTATACGATAAGTTTGAGTCTTATCTCTTATTCGCGAGAATTTCTTCTCTCCGGTCTTGTCTCCTCACTAAGTGGCTGCACACACCTGTTTTAAAGATGGAGTCAAGCACGAGACGGGTATTTACTTGTTCCGGGAAATTTGGGATGTTAAATCCACCTTAGAGTTAGCAGCCAGCATTTTTAGTCATGTTAGCTTTTATGGGGTCTCTTAGTCCCATTGGGGGTTTATATACACTAGAAAATATAGAGAATCTAGTTCTTTATTATTCTATTTTTTTTTTAATTTTTGTATACTATTGACCTAAGATGAGCTTAAATGGAATCACATATCAGTGAGGATTCTCATAGCTTACCCCAACTTGACACATTTGAAGAGGGAATCAATCTGTGAACACTGTTGAATCTGTCGACACATTTGGACATTTACTACCAAGTAATGCAGTGATGATATTATTATTCTATTTTCCATTTTAGCATCTATAACAATGTTGCTTAAGCATTTCCTTTACTGTGCCAAAGACATTGATGGAGCTTATTTAGGAACTACGTTCCCGCACCTATTCTTGATGACATACGGACACCTCAAGCCACAGAAGATTTCTCAGAGCTATGTTCCCAGAGTGTTTGGTTTCAAGGTCCACAAGCCGTGATCCTGGTAGTGACCTACTGGCAATTGTATCCATATTAATGTGCTAGGAGAGGTAATACTTTTAATAGCACATCTAGAATTATTAAGGTTCTGTTGTAGGTTCTCTATTCTCCTACAGGCTTTCGAAGATACTGTAACGAGTTAACTTGAGCTACTTATGTATGGAGATACTTTCCATGCTAAAATTTGTGGTGTCAGAATCTCAGACTGCATTACATACTTTTTTGTTGTCCGAGTTTTATGTCAATGTACAACCATGCATCATAACTTCCATTTTCCACAGATTTCGTAGGCGGCACGTACTTTTAGGAGTGACAAACGGGCGGGTCGGATATGGTTCGGGTCGAAAACGTATAATGAAAAAACGGATCAATTAACCAACCCGACCCATATTTAATACGGATAAAAACGGGTTAACCGGCGGATAATATGAGTTACCCATATTATCCATGACTTCTTGTATATGATCACTTTTGAGAGAATTTTTAGTCGCCTTAACTTGAGGAATCCCCAATTTGAGGCTTTACAAATGTAAAAGTTAGACTCATTGATTATCCATTTAGAATGGTTCTTATTCATATTTGACCCGTTTTTAAAGAGTTCATTATCCAACCCATTTTTTAGTGGATAATATGGGTGGTTAACTGTTTTCTTTAAACCATTTTGCCCCCACGTACGATGGACCTTTTTCAGCCTATGGTTTCACCTTTAGTCTGTGATTTATGTCAAAAGGAGTCCTTCAAATATAATTTTCATCACTATCACACTGCGCTCTTGAATAGTCGTTATGATGTGTCTATAAAAGCCTTTTCTTTGATTTTCCTCGACTTCTGCTTAACATTATTTTTACAGGGTGAAAGGGGGTCTTGTGTGCTGAAATAGTAATTTTTCATATTGTGGCCGAGTCGGTCATAAAAATTACAGTCTCAAAGACTTTGGTTTAATGGCAAATGTATAACAGCTCAGGATGTGTGATAGGTGCACATAGCAAATTGAACGCCGACCTCACTGTTACACTGAGTTTGGTACTTCAAATAGAGAAGGGTAAAGGGCAGACTCATTGTCCATTAATCTTAAAAGCTTAAAATAAAGGTAAAAATATTAGTCGCCTAACCAATTGTTACAAATTCTTGTGCATACTAGTAAAATAAACTTATGGTTCAAGTTCAACCCGTAAAAAGCCTTTTCGCTCAAACCTGTGTTAAAGAGAAGAAAATCAATATGCAAGAGACGTTGGCTTTCTTTGTAGATCAGTCACGTTTTGTGGTTATCATCTTAGAAACTGGATGATATTGGTCGAAATTGGATATTATTATAACTTTTTTTTTAATTCATCTTACTCTACGGGCTAACTAACTCGGATATTATCTATTAGTCATTAAATGTCAATCACCTGAACTTAGATGATCAAGAATTTATGATGTTAAATCATAAGTTTTATGTCTCCGATCATGTGGTTAACTTTTGCATGCTAGTAAACTCACATTCCAGTAAAGAATCAGTGCATCAAATTTGAAGCCACATCTTGTTCATCACTAGAAAGGCTGCTGCCCAACACACGTGAATGTAACACAAACCGGTTACCAAGTTTGACCATAATTAATGCATCCAGATAACTCTAAACTTGACTGCAACAAGAGGCAATAATGACAGCAATCATCTCAGATTAAACTAGGTTTTTTCCCTACAGTATACTGAGCTGGTTCACAGCCATCAAAATTTCACGAGGAAAAACAACTCTGATCTTGAAACAGCAACGTTGGGCATAAAAGGTAAAACGTGCTCAACTCTCAGTCTGCTCCCTCAGTCTGCGAATTGTGCTCCTAACTGTCACAGCACTTGCAGTGCTGTTGCAAAGGAAATAAGAATTAGTTAACAATCACAAAAAGTGAAACTTGGTGTTACTGCTAAGAGAAAAAAAGAAATTATTTGACAACAACAAAAGGGGAAACTATGAACACATTCAAAGAGTAATTACTTCAATGTATATGCGCCACCAGCTTTTACTTTGCCACAATCTTTGCAGCCCCATATCCCCACTGCCTTTCTCTTCACAGCATACTGAACATAAAAATAAGAATCCGGCAAGCACAACAAGCACAATTTTAAAGCAGACTAATGCTCCGTAAAGAACAGAAATGCAGAATTGCAGCATAAATATGGTAAATATCACATTCCTAAACCAGAAAACCATACCTTTCCGCAAAACTCACAGAAGTACTTGCTATGCTGGCTAACCTCCATCTTCTTAATCTGCTTCCGCAGACTAGCACCATAACGGGTGCCTGAAAATAGAGAGCAAATCAAGTCAGGAGGACAACTTTATCAAAAATTAAAAGCACATAAAATTTCAACATCACAAGACATGCTAATCATTATCCTACATCACAGGAAGATGTAAAACTATAGCATTCCATAAAAGTTCTCATCATTTTAGCCACAAGAAAATGGGAACTAAAACAAGTTCAGAAGAGCACAAGTTGTCCTTAAATTTACCAAACGGGCCCAGCAGCTATAGAATCAGAAGCATAAACAGTCAAGCATAGCCCTTAATAAAGTTACACTTAGAAATGCATGAATTTTCATAAAGACAAAGGAGACCATAAGAAGGAAAATAAGAGGTAATAAGTAGCCATATACATACCATACTTCCCAACTATTCCAGCCTTCTTTGTCCTCTTAGTCTGCAACAAAGATAAGTATATCAACTTCATAACTTGGCTTTGAAATGGATAACTTTGAAAAGAGCTTGACTGAACAGAGTTCTATCTACACTAGCTCAACAAGGTCTAGATCTAGGTCTTCCATCCAGTTGTAGCCATAGTGAATCCATACAAACTACAGGGTAGCTGGCCTCTATGTCAGTTTTTTTTAATAAGGTAATTAGGATATCATTAATAGGCATCAAGAAGATGCAGAGATTGCAAAAGAAGGAAGATGTCAGCTCTAATAAAAAAAAAACTATCATAAGACTAAGGAGCTGACAAAATCCAAAAAAATATCAGAATATTTACCAGTGAATGATTCACACAACTAAAAGATTAACCAAACACTTAGCCTCTATGTCAGCTTTTCAATCATAAACAAATTGCTAAACTGCAATAATTGACTTCTCACAATGCAAGCCATTTAACAGCAGCCTCAGTTGGATAAACTATTCGAGAAGACATGGTAATAATGCAAAAGAATCAATATCTTGCACATGTTACTATTTACAGTATCTCAATAGATTCTTCAGCCTGACACTGCTAGTGCTATATAAAACATAGTTGATAAAAAAGGAAATCTCACTTAGCTTAGCAAAGAGCCAATAAAAAATTACACCTTATCAATGTGGATCTCGTTTTATTTTGTGAAATAACAATAATATGAACTGCATGTACATGGCGCTACTTACACTGGCTCAACTAGGTCAAAATCTAGCTCTTCTATCGAATTGTTACAAAGTGATCCATGAAAAATACAGAGTGGCTAGCCTCTATGTCAATATTTCAATCATAAGATAGATGCTGAACTGCAATATCTAACCTCCCAATGCAAGCGATCTACCCAGCTGCCTCATTGGGATGTACTATTGTCTATTGAGAAGAAATGGCAGCAATCCAAAAGAATTGATGTCACCCACACGTTACTGTTTACAGTATAATCATTTAAACTTAATTCCAGCAAAGCCAATTTTCTGATGAAAGTTAAGAGACAATTTTAGCATACCCTAATGTGTCATATTCAAAGCAGCGATTTGCTTATTGAACTCATTTCATAAAATATAACTGAACAATTATAATTTTTTTTGAAGGAAAATATATTTATACTAAGTTCATAACCATATCGACAAATAATTATGGCGCTGTGGCATTCTGCAGTCACTAACTTAAAATCCGTCTATCCAAACAGAACTATGATAACCCTTCTGAACAAGCTCTCAGTAACTCATAACACAACTATACTCGCTCAAAATAAGGGCGGAGAAGTCACAAAAAGAAATGAACACCAAAATAAACACCCAAAATTCATGCATAATACAAAAATAGCGTACCATATTCGCTGTGAATGGAGGTTCCCGAACTTGTGAGAGGGAGCAGCTGTTGCTGAAAGGCGATGACAGAAGACAACCCTAGCCATCTCTTTTGTTCGCCGTCTTATACCTTCAGCAAAGTAATCAGTTTCGCACTTCCGTTAGACCATTTGTGGATCGGGTAAGGATTGGCCCATTTGGGTGATGTTCAGATTGAGGGAGAAATTAAAAAATAGCCAGATTTACAAGTGGTCATTCAAAAATAGCCATAATTTCAAAAGTAATCGAAATTTAGCCAACAAATACTATTCAAAAGTAAAGATATACTTTTGAAAGTAAAGATAAATCCAAACGAAAATACTATTCAAAATCCGAAAAAATACTCCAGCATAATATACTGGAGTTTCAGTATAATATACCGGTCCAGCATAATATACTGGAGTTTGGAGCACCAATGCTCCAATCTCCAGTATATTATACTGGAACTACTGGAGTTCCAGTATAATATACCGGTCCAACATAATATACTGGAGTTTCAGTATAATATACCGGTCCAACATAATATACTGGAGTTTGGAGCACCGGTGCTCCAATCTCCAGTATATTATACTGGAGCCAACAAAGTATACCGGTCCAGCATAATATGATGGAAGTTCATACATAGGTGCATCGAACTCTAGTATAATATGCTGGACCGGTCTTTGTTGCATCAAAATAGTGGCTATTTTTCAATGACTTGACAAATGCTGGCTATTTTTGAATGACCAGTCCGAAAACTGGTTAGACCGTGCTATTTTAACTTAGATTGACCCAAATCGTTTTGGGCCTCCGAGCATATAAAGGTTGATTTGCAAGAATGGCCTTGGAAGTAGGTTATCTTGAACTTTAATTTTAACAAGTGTTACCTCTTTCTTACCCCGTGAAAATCACTTTTGATTTTTGACCTTAAAAGTTTGCTCATGGGACAAGCGGCGGTCAAGAAATTAATATCATCCATTTTCAAAATCATTAGGTATAATTTGCTGAGCTTAAAATTATATTTTTGGGCCTCCCAAAAAAATAATATCCGATAAATGAATTTGTTTTGTATATTAAGTATAAACTAGTATTAGAGTACGCGCTTTGCGCGTGTACCTTGCCTCAATAAATATTAAAGTTCATAAAAAAAGTCATATAAATATTATTTTAAGAATTATGTTTGAGTTATATAATAAAGTCAAAAGAAGAAAGTGTAAAATCATGAAAATGATGCTTAATGTTGATCCTATTTAATTAACTTAATAAAGAAAGAAGCTCTACCTCATGAAAGTCCTTAAAATCTTAAATGTTACTTCTACTAAAAATAAATTATTAATTATAATACGATTTCTATTCAACATGAACGACACTTATGAAGGATAAAAGTTAATCAACATTTCATGTTAATATTTCATATTTTTATGATATATTGTGTTAATATATATAGATAGATTAGACTCATCTATCGAAAAGTTTTTAGTGCGAACATTGGTCCTTAAATCATATCCCATCAAAATTATGGTGCAATTTAATTATCTGGATTCAAAATTTTAAATGTTAATATAATTTATTAATACATAATTATAGTTGAGGGAATAGTTTGATTTTCTAATGCTACAAAATTGAATATGTCGACCAACTTCAACTTTGTGACAATTAACTTCATATAAATTACTCTACAAAGTTTTAGATTGTTAGGTGCCTTGAATATTTTATTTTTAGTTAGGTTTATTTCCAAAACTTTATATTTATCTTATACTTTCAGATTATTTATTTTCAAAATTAACATATAAAACAGAAATGTGTAGGTAATTTTCAAAATTTATTCTTTGAAACTACACTAATTAATACTTCCAAATCTAAAATCCTCGTTGTTTTCAATCAATAACCTTTTTTTTTGGCTTTCTTTGTACTTTTAAGCTTTATAAATGTTTAGGTAAATATACCCATATTTATAATAAAATATATTATATGTCTACTTAACGTGAGAGGGTTCAAATTTTTGGAGTTAAAGAATAATTATTTTACCCAGTAAAGAATGTATCTATATATATCTTAAATTTATTTGCTTTTAAATTCCTAAATATTAGGAATTTATATGTAGTTCAAATAAGGAAATACTTAATAGCTAAAATTGTATTTATTTTAAAATCCTAAATATTACTAAGTAATAGTTAAATGACGATATTGTCTAATGTAAACTTACTTTTAAAAGGGTAAAAAGAAGAACGATATTTTGCTAAGGNATATATATATATATATATATATATATATAAATTTACCTCTAACATACATATAATATATAAAATCCGTGTATATGTTTTGTATATATTTGACTATTGCCTGTAATTATCCGCCAAAAATAAAAAAATTCCAATCGTCTAATTACTTGTTTAGAAACTTCTTTCTTTAAGATGAAGATTTTGACTGTGGAATCAAATTTTTGTAAATGCCAAAATTCTTTCCACACGATAGCAACCTCGTCACTTGCTGAGTAGATATTATTAGCTTACATCCAAAGTACATACATAAACTTAAAAATATGTATTTTCCTTAAGAAAAGATTTTCTAAAGAGTTTCTTGTCACATAATCACAAGTTCACAACAACAGAAAATCCTTCACCTGCATAAAGTATAAGCATACAATAAGCAAAATTAGACAATTTTTCTGAACTTATAATTTATTGCACTGAAGTACCTAACCTCTATCTTCATGTAACAGAAAGTACAAGTCCATATTTTTATTACTAATAAAAGACAATTTTTCTAATCAGCATGTTCGTCATCATTATCACATCCTCGCTACTCATCTTTTAATAACGAAATTTTTTATGCCCCTCAAAATTANATATATGCTACAATAAAACCAGTGGTATAATGCTGCCGCACCACGACACAAATAAATGACAAAGTACGAGAAGGGAGACTAGGTAACAACTTCCTAATATAAAGTTTTAGAGCGAACCTGTGCAATAATAACAACTATTAATTAATTTGTTCAACTTGCAGTTTTAAATTCATATGCATCATGGGTCATACTTCACTTATTGGTGCTCAAAATCTAGTTTGTTCATTTCTAAAAGGATCTTTACTTAGGTGTTTGCAGACTTTTAAATAATAAAATAAGTATTTTAAAGTATAAAATTAATTTTTTAAACTTTAAAGTTTTAAATTTCAATTTTGAATTTAAAATTTGAAATTAAAATTAAGTGGCTACATAAAATTATTTAATAAGACCAATATGTAAGGATTAAACTTGTGTTACCTTTGTCCAAAAAAATATGTAAGGATCAAACTTCAAAGACTTTCATTTCATATTTCATTGCATAATAATACTTCAAATTAACTTGTTTTATAAACTAACTCATTAAGCTTAAATAAGTCTAACAAATTCAAAATATCCCAAATTATCTCAAATCAACTTAAATATGAATTCCTGGAGGACGCACAAGACAACTCTTGTTATGCCTCCTTAAACCAGTTGTGCTCTCCCACTTTCGATAAACATTAAAGACTCGATCACCGTTCTTGCACTCTACTTTGCGAACTTCTTCATTTTCTTCTACCACCTCAAAGTGTTCCCAAATATGTGAATGCACTCTAGAAGCATGGGGCATGATTTAACGTGAACCTAACAAAAATGGTAACCACTTCGCTTGATAATTGTTATTTTGTAGTGGTTACCGTAAATAATTGATAAAACTTGAAATATCAATTAATTGAGAACTTGAAAGTAATAAGCAATTCAATAATCAAAAGGGAATTGAGAGAGAATTAAAGTAGAAGAAGAGAGTAAGTTGTGGAAAAAAATAAAGAAGAAGGGTGTAACGACCCGACCGGTCGTTTCGAGAGTTATAACCCCGTTTCCCCATTTCTGCTTCTTTTTATGTTCTTCATCTATATTATGATATGTCGGGTCAGTTGGCTCGGGTCTGGAGTGGTTTCGAAGAGGATTTGAGACACTCAGTCTCTTTATGAGAAGCTTAAGTTGGAAAAGTCAATCGGATGTTGACTTATGTGTAAACGATCCCGGATTTGAATTTGATAGTTCTGTTAGCTCCGTTAGGTGATTTTGGACTTAAGAGCATGTCCGAAATATGTTTTGGAGGTCCGCAGTAGAATTAGGCTTGAATTGGCGAAAATTAGAGCGATTTCGGTCGGTAGTGGAAAATTTGATATCGGGGTCGGAATGGATTTTCGAAAGTTGGAATAGGTTCATGTGTGATGTGTTATAAAATTTGAGGTCATTCATACGTGATTTGGTAGGTTTCGGCATCGTTTGCGGAATTTAAAAGTTTAGAAGTTCTTAGACTTGAATCCTAGGGTAATTTGGTGTTTTGATGTTGTTTTGAGTGATTCGAAGGCTCGACTAAGTTCGTATGGGGTTATATAACTTGTTGGTATGTTTGGTTGAGGTCTCGGAGGCCTCGGGTATGTTTCGGGTGATTAACGGAACAAGTTTGGAAATTGGAGGAGTTGCTGAAGTTGGAACTCAGCTATCATAATCGCACGTACGGATGTCTCATCGCAGGTGCAAGCCCGCAGAAGCGAGCGGGGGATTGCAGATGCGAGATTGGAGGAGCTGGGCAGAAGGCGCATGTGCGATGAAGTTCCCGCACTTGCGATGGTTGCAGAAGCGGAAAAGAAGGCGCAGGTGCGTGTATTGGTCCGCATGTGCGATGTCAATTCTGCACCTGTGATGATCACAGATGCGGTCTAGAGGCACAGAAGCGGTCAAGGATTTTAAGTGATTTTCCGCGGATGCGGAGATTTTTGCGCAGAAGCGGCACCACAGGTGCGCATATTGAGTCGTAGGTGCGAAAAGCCTGCACAAAACCTATAAATAGAAGACTACACAAATTTTTCTTCATTTCTACCATCTTGAACACGAACTTTGGAGCTTTTGGGAGTGATTATGAAAGGGATTCAAGGATATTCACTGAGGTAAGTTTCTTGAGCTCTATTATCATTAGCTATGGTGTTCTTCCGTTGATTTCTCACCCAATTAGTGGAGTTTTGAAGTAGAAATTGGGGGTTAGGGCTTGGAATTTTGGAGAGTGGATTTTGGGGATTTTATGGAGCAATTGATGTCAATTTTTGATGAAAT